GTATAATACACACTGTGCTCACCTTCTCCCAGTATAATACACACTGTGCCCACCTTCTCCCAGTATAATACACACTGTGCCCACCTTCTCCCAGTATAACACACACTGTGCCCACCTTCTCCCAGTATAACACACACTGTCGCCACCTTCTCCCAGTATAACACACACTGTCGCCACCTTCTCCCAGTATAACACACACTGTGCCCACCTTCTCCCAGTATAACACACACACTGTGCCCACCTCCTCCCAGTATAACACACACACTGTGCCCACCTCCTCCCAGTATAACACACACACTCAGCTCACTTACCTACGCACACAGCTACTCAGCTTCCTGCCTGCAGGTTGCTGGGGTGCCCCCACCTCTCATGGAAGGCCTCATGTCTACTGCAGCCCGTAGCTCCCCTGTTCGCTGCCATTTAATCTGGTGACGCAGCAGCAACAACGTGACTGTCGCCATTTTTTGTTTTATTAAATTCTGCCATGTGATAGAAATAAAATACTCGGCCTCGTGACCAGCAGGGAGAAAAACAAACAAACCTCACATGAGCTGAGTGCCAGGAGTGGGTGGCAGTGCCAGGGATCCCTGCTACCTCAGAATATAACTCCCATCACTCACAAACCTCACATGAGCTGGGTGCCAGGAGTGGGTGGCAGTGCCAGGGATCTCTGCTACCTCAGAGTATAATCCTCATCACTCACAAACCTCACATGAGCTGGGTGCCAGGAGTGGGTGGCAGTGCCAGGGATCTCTGCTACCTCAGAGTATAACTCTCATCACTCACAAACCTCACATGAGCTGTGTGCCAGGAGTGGGTGGCAGTGCCAGGGATCCCTGCTACCTCAGAGTATAACTCTCATCACTCACAACAAACCTCACATGAGCTGGGTGCCAAGAGTGGGTGGCATTGCCAGGGGTCTCTGCTACCTTAGAATATAACTCCCATCATCCACAAACCTCACATGAGCTGAGTGCCAGGGATCCCTGCTACCTCAGAATATAACTCCCATCATCCACAAACCTCACATGAGCTGAGTACCAGGAGTGGGTGGAAGTGCCAGGGGTCTCTGCTACCTCAGAATATAACTCCCATCACTAACAAACCTCACATGAGCTGAGTACCAGGAGTGGGTGGCAGTGCCAGGGGTCTCTGCTACCTCAGAATATAACTCCCATCACTCACAAACCTCACATGAGCTGTGTGCCAGGAGTGGGTGGCAGTGCCAGGGGTCTCTGCTACCTCAGAATATAACTCCCATCACTAACAAACCTCACATGAGCTGAGTGCCAAGAGTGGGTGGCAGTGCCAGGAAATACTATTACCTACAGCAGATTTGTAATTCTCCTCCTAACAGCCTACTGACTGAGGGTGATGTGATTTGTTCAAGGGTGCATTGCATCATGTATCGATGGCCTCTGAGAAAATATTTAGGATGAGATTATTTTTTATTATAACAGATATATTCCAAATAAACCATGAAATGAATATCAAGTTAGTAAAATAAAGGAATGTTAAAGTTACTCACTAAAGTGTGAATTTTTGGGATGTCAACGTGGTTTTACTGATTAAACACCGAATTGTAGAGAATTAAAAAATAAATGGCAAAATGCAGGAAAAAATAACCAAGATTTCATTATAGCTTATATGGAGAATGTTTCCAAATTGTCTATTTTAACTTAGACATTGATATGAGTATGTTTGTTACCTCCCTTATCTCCTTCAATTGCAATCTTTTAATTCTGTACAATAGACAAACAACTCTAACAAAACAGGTTTGACATAGGGGAACAATAGGTAAAAGAGGTCTTGCCAAAAATTGGATAATGTTCTAACGAGGTGGCTGCGCTTCTCCTTTCCTCTTGCCCCACCACTTGCCCACTTGATCTTGTCCCATCTCACCTTATCAGATCTCTCTCCCCCTGTCTTGTGCCTTCCCTAACACACATCTTCAACTGCTCTCTCTTCTGGTGTTGTCCCTGCTGCCCTTAAGCATGCCACTGTAGTACCTATCCTGAAAAAAACATCTCTCGACCTGTTCTCCCCCTCTAAATATCGTCCTATATCCCTGCTCCCTTTTTTCCTCAACGCTTCTGGAAAGACTTGTCTTTACCCGTATGTCTCACTACTTCAAATCTAACTGTCTTCTTGACCCCCTTCAATCTGGCTTCCGCCCCCTCCACTCTACTGAGACTGCTCTTATTAAAGTCACTAACGACCTAATCGCAGCTAAATCCAAAGGGCACTACTCCATACTAATTCTTCTTGACCTCTCTGCTGCCTTTGACACAGTTGACCATGTTCTCCTTCTCCAAACTCTTCAATCACTCAGTCTCTGTGACACTGTCCTCTCTTGGTTTTCCTCCTATCCCTCCCAACGCTCATTCAGTGTCTCCTTTTCCAAGGATACCTCCTCCCCTCTGCCTGTCTCGGTTGGAGTCTCCCAAGGCTCTGTCCTTGGTCCCCTTCTATTTTCTCTTTATACTGCCTCTCTTGGTAATCTTATTACCTCATTTGGATTACACTACCACCTGTACGCTGATGACACCCAGATATACCTCTCCTCCCCGGACCGCTCCCCTGCCGTCCTGCAACGTGTCACTGCTTCCCTTTCTTCCATCTCTGATTGGATATCCTCCCGCTTTCTGAAACTCAATCTCTCTAAAACTGAGCTCCTTGTCTTTCCTTTCAGTTTGGTTTGCCTGACTTTGATTGGAAAATTTGGAAAAAACAAATATATATATATTTTTTAGAATACATTTTATTTTAGAGTGTCAAACAGAAAAACACTACAAATGCATTGAACATTCCATACAAAATGATAGTTGATATTTATAGAGGATGACAATAAATATATATTTCATGATGACGCTCTGTTGTTTTTAATTTTAAAATATTAAGAACATAAATTAGTGCTAGAGCATCGGCTAGGACAGTGAGACTATTAGAGACATAATGACTGGTAAAAAGGTACACAAAAAAATAAAAAGTTATAACATTTTGAAAGTCTCTCTCATTCCCATCAGTACCTTTGATCTTTTTAAAGAGCATTAAATTCCATCTATCTGGCTAAGTAAAGTAAGACGAATAGAGGCATAGCGGCTGGTGAAAAGGTACACAATCAACGTAGATTGTAAACATAAAAGAATCAAACCTTTACTGCACAGTTTGTTTAATTTAGAATTTATTTTCTCCTGCTCTGTTAATAACGTGCTAGACCCGGCAGTATGTATGTAAGTTTACTTTACAGAGCAGGAGATATTAACTTTTAAAGTAACATCTGATTGAAAATAAGACCATTTCTTTCATGCAGGCTGTGTCAGTCACAGCGAGGGGAGGTGTGGCTAGGGCTGCATAAATAGAAACAAAGTGATTTAATTTAACTTCTAAATGGCAGAGAATTGAGCAGTGAGACTTCAGAGGCATTATCTATACACAAAAACAGCAAAAAAAAATCATTAAGCTAAAGTTGTTTTGGAAACCATACAGGGAGTGCAGAATTATTAGGCAAGTTGTATTTTTGAGGATTAATTTTATTATTGAACAACAACCATGTTCTCAATGAACCCAAAAAACTCATTAATATCAAAGCTGAATATTTTTGGAAATAGTTTTTAGTTTGTTTTCAGTTATAGCTATGTTAGGGGGATATCTGTGTGTGCAGGTGACTATTACTGTGCATAATTATTAGGCAACTTAACAAAAAACAAATATATACCCATTTCAATTATTTATTATTACCAGTGAAACCAATATAACATCTCAACATTCACAAATATACATTTCTGACATTCAAAAACAAAACAAAAACAAATCAGTGACCAATATAGCCACCTTTCTTTGCAAGGACACTCAAAAGCCTGCCATCCATGGATTCTGTCAGTGTTTTGATCTGTTCACCATCAACATTGCGTGCAGCAGCAACCACAGCCTCCCAGACACTGTTCAGAGAGGTGTACTGTTTTCCCTCCTTGTAAATCTCACATTTGATGATGGACCACAGGTTCTCAATGGGGT